AGGCAGGCACCAGCCAGCAGCTTCCATGGTGGCAGGCAACGGTGTCCCCTTGGACGCTGCAGACCCTTGGTGGGGACACCTTTATAGCCCTGCCCCAGCCGGTGACTCACAAATTCTTCGGGGCAGGGGAGCCAGGGACTAGGGGTGCGGGGACAGTGGTCCCTGGCATGTGAAATTTGTCCCAGTTGTGTAAACAGAGGGCTGGGGGGAGGCTGGGGGCGGAGGGGCTGCGATCTCTGGTGGAAAAGCAAAACACAGAAGGGAAAAGTTAGACACCATTTGTGAGAAAATCCCCAGGGGGGAACAGGGAAAAGCAGAGACAATTAACAAGGATGATTAAGTGCTCTTTGTAGCCATTTGCATAAGGGAGGGGGGACGTGGGGGAGGGATGGGGAGTGCTGGGGCAGCATGGTAGGCATGGGATGGGGACAGTGCAATGTCCACATGATGGGACAGCCTGATGGGCATGCCCTGGGGACAGGGTGATGGGCACGATGAGGACAGTGTGATAGGCTGCAGTGGTGGCAAGCACAGAGCAACCAGGAGGCAGGTGATGGGATGCTCAAGAGAGGACAGGGAGGGAAGACGGACAGAAGGGGTGGACGCCAGGCCCAGGCAGGGCAATGGTCCTGCTCAGGCATCCATGGCCTCTGCTCAGATCACCCTGGGGAGTGGCCAGGCCTCGTTCCCACACTGCCGGCACAGTGGGGAAAGCACGCACTTGCCCGTGCTCCCTGCCCTCTCCTTTGGCTTCTTGAGATGTGGACCGTACTGGGAGGTACAGAAAAGCTTCTTAATATGAGGGTGCAAGCCCCCGCCCCAGCACTGCCACACGTGCTGTCCCTGCCTGGTGCTCCTGCCCGCTGCTTCTGCCCGAGCACTCGAGCTGAGGTGCCGCTGGCAGACAGGTCACCTGCCGCTCCCGGGAGGGATTCAATTTGGGACAAGGAAAGAAAATAGCAAATGGTCCCTGCTGTAGCTCTGCTATCAGCATCCAAACACCCCTGTCCAAATGCTGGCCGGACCCTGCTCAGCTTCGAGCACAATTTGTCACCAGGGGCCCTCCCTGCCCCTCTCCATCTGTGGCAGCCGGCGAGCAGGAGGGGGCATGGGGCCAGTGCAGCCCTCATTACCATCTCCATTTGCTCCTCATTTGGGCCAGGAGTCTTACAACAACAAACCCTGTGGAGGACAAGCAGGGCCAGGAGGAGCGAACTGAAAGCCCGAGCTCACCCTGCAGGCATGGGGAGTTCAACCTGCTGGCGTTTCACTGCCCCTCCGACCCCTGCATGGGCAATGCAGCCCAAAATGGACACATGGACGGTGGCACGCAGTCACCCGCTGGCCACCAAGGCTGGCCAGAAAGGTGACAGCAAGCCACAGACCTGAGCCACTTAGGCAAACCTACCCTGATAATTAATAGACAACAAGCAAAATGAGGCATCCCAGCTCCCCAGTCCTTCCTGACGCTGAAAGGGTTTAATTCTGATCTGCAATAAGCCTCTGATCCAGGCTGAGATTTGCAGGTGGATTTTGCAAAGCTGTAGCTAAACAATTCACAGCCCCTGATCACCCGGGTCGGGGCCCCAGCCACTCACCCTGCCCCGACCAGACACCTCCGGTCCTGGGTCACCCCTCGCCGTGGCCACCCTCGGTCCCACGCCGTGTCTCCAGCCGCCTCTGTAAGTACCGCAGAGCTCTGGCATGACCCTCCCATGTCTTTTTGCTGGCACCCCAAGTACCCCAGGTGTTTCTTTTGCAGCAGCACCCCTGAGACGGAGCGGGTGGTCTTGGTTAGCACACAGGAAAGGAGACAGAAAGTTGGGAACCTTTTGGTACCAAGCATTTGAGGTGCCAGCAGTGGGGCGGGGAGAGGAGTGGAGGCACTGGGCGGTAGCGGCACTCTCAGCCAAGAGCGTTCCCAGGGCGAGAGGCTGCCGGCTGTGGTGTCGGCACAGTGTGGCGTGGGCTCAGTCCAGTTTCGCAAGATGCCGCGGGAGGGGGAATTTTGAAACAAGGCAGAGGGAAAACAAACCACCCCACTCCACTGCCTCTGCCAAACCCCACTGCCCGCACCCAAGGCTGCGGGCAGGAGATGGCACCAGCAGAAAAACCCCCGCTGACATCAGCGGGCACGAGCTGCACCCCAGTGTGCTCACCCCACCAAGGGACAGGTCACCCCGCTCGGCCGGGGCACTCCAGGGAAGCATCCCTGAGGTGCTGCCAGCATGCTTTGCCCTGATGTAATTCTGCCCTCCATGGACCTCTGGGCTCTCCTGGGGACGCAGGTGTCACTGTCACATGCATCCCTCTCCATCACTGTTCCCAGCATCACAGAAAGGCCGATAGCCATGGCTCAATTTCAGGTGGGCGCTTCCCGTTGTCCTGCTGGAGCCTTGCCAGGTCGGGGTGAGTGGTGGGTGGCTGCAGATGCCTTGGGTGAGCCCCGTGCAGATGGGGACGAGGCGCAATCCCCCTTCCTCAGCTGGGGGAGCCTCAGGGCCACCACCTGAAATCACCTCCGGCAGGTCCCAAATAACATGGTGCAGCCGTAGCTTTTTGGCTTCCTTGGCTCGGGACATCACAGAAGACAAGGGACTCCCAGGAAGGCAGCGGGCACTTTTCCCCCCACCGGTGGCTGACTCTCCATCCCTGCCCGCAGCCCCGGTGCAAGGGAGGGCTTTGGCGTCCTTCCCAGGCAGCGCTGCTCTGCCTCTGAAGTCTGGCTGGGGAGATAGCGGAGGTGAAAGGGCGCTTGGCGCTCCTCCACAGGCTTGGGTCAATCGTTAATCGGGGAGGAATTGCTTTCCACTCTTGCAGGTAACCTCTCCTCCCCCCGGCTCCCACCCACGTGCCAGTGCCCACACAAAACCAGCACCCCTGGGAGTGGGGTGGAGCTGCAGCACAGCGAGCGGAGCTGCCGGCAGGGCCATGGGAAGGTAAGCGCGTGGAAGTGAACTGCCGGCAAGCTGGGCAAGAAGCC